GAAGGCCAATGGCATCCTGGCTTGCATCAGAAACAGTGTTGGCAGCAGGAGCAGAGAGGTGATTGTTCCCTTGTATTCAGCACTGGTGAGGCCGCACCTCGAGTGCTGTGTCCAGTTTTGGGCCCCTCACTGCAAGAAAGACATTGAGGCCCTGGAACGTGTTCAAAGGAGGGCAACAAAGCTGGTGAGGGGTCTGGAACACAGGCCATATGAGGAGAGGCTGAAGGAGCTGGGAAAGTTCAGCCTGGAGAAGAGGAGGCTCAGGGGAGACCTCATTGCTCTCTATAACTTCCTGAAGGGAGGCTGCAGTGAGCTGGGGGTCGGCCTCTTCTCTCGCGTCATTAGTGATAGGACCAGGGGGAATGGCTTCAAGCTACGGCAGGGGAGATTCAGGCTGGACATGAGGAAGTATTACTCTTCAGAAAGGGTGGTCAGGCACTGCAATGGATGCCCAGGGAGGTGGTGGAGTCACCGAGCCTGGGGGTGTTCAAGGAAAGGCTGGATGTTGTGTTGAGGGACATGGTTTAGTAGGAGCTATTGGGAATAGGTGAACGGTTGGACTGGGTGATCTTTTAGGTCTTTTCCAACCTTGGTGATTCTATGATTCTATGATTCTATGATTTAGGTTGGATGTCAGGAGGAAGTTCTTTACAGACAGAGTGGTGAGGTGCTGGAACAGCTGCCCAGAGAGGCTGTGGATGCCCCGTCCATCCCTGGAGGTGTTCAAGGCCAGGTTGGATGAGGCTCTGGGCAGCCTGGGCTGGTATGAAATGTGGAGGTTGGTGGCCCAGCATGTGGAAAAGCAGTTGGTGATTCATGATCCTTGAGGTCCCTCCCAACCCTGGCCATTCTGAAGCAAGATTGTAAGCAGGACTGCAATCCTGGACTTCAAGAGAGCCAACTTTGATCTCTACAAGGACATACTTGGAGGTATCTCATGAGTTAGAGCATGGGAGATAATGGTGCCCAATAGAGTTGATTAACATTCAAACACCATTTTGTCCAAACACAAGATGGGTGCATCCCTAAGAGAAAGAAATCAGGCAAGGGTGGCAGGAGTCCTGCATGAAGGAGCAGGGAATACCTGGAAAAACTCAAATGTGAGAAGAACATTTAGCCTGGACAGTTGAGATAAATATAGGAATTTTCAGGGTATGTAGAGATGCAACAAGGATATATTTTAGAAAACCTGCTTTAACAGAGGAGTTAGACTAGATGAACTCCAGTGGTCTCTTCCAACTTCTACCAGAAGAAAATACAACTGCCAGCAGAAAAGAAAAAGTTAAAACAATGATTCAACTTTACAGGAAAAAAATGGCATGAACCTTAGACCTTCAAAGAAAGTTGAACGACAGAACAGAAAAACTCAAGTCAGTTTTAAAATGACTGGGTGAGTAAAACATTTCAGAAAACGTGTGATACACTTCTACTTGTCCCAGCTTCTGCAGAGACTGTGTCTGTCACATGCAGCCAATGAGTGGAAATTCTGCCAGCAACAAGGGCATAAGAGAATGGAAGCAAAAAGGTAGGCCACCTTAAACATCCAAGCTATACCAACAAGTAATGGACATTAATCACACTTCAAATTAATAAGAAAGATTTATTGTGGAGTACTGGGCTTGAATTATAGTTCAACTGTAACCATCAGATCTTATTTTTCAAGATATTACTCTATTTCACAGAATCATAGAAGCATATACTCTGTTGGGTTGGAAGGGACCACTGAAGGCCATCTAATTCAACTCCACTGCAATGAACAGGGAAACCTACAGCTAGATCAAGATTCTCAGAGCCTGGTTCAGCCTGGCCTTGAATGTTTCCAGGGTCACAGCACATACCGACCCTCTGTATGACCTGTTCCACTACATCACTACCCTTGCTGTAAAAAAAGCTCTTTTCCTACATTCAGTCTAAATCCCACCCGTTTTAGGGGATTTCCTCTTGTCTTGTCACAACACACCCTGCTGAAGAGTCTGTCCTGTTCTTTCAGATACTGAAAGACTGCTGTCTTTCTCTGGTTGTCTCTTCTCCAAGCTGAATAATCTCAACTCAGCTTTCTCATAAGGAAAGCACTCTATCCCTTGAATCATTTTTGTGGCCCTCCTCTGGATGCATTTGAATAGGTGCACATCTATGCTGCACTGAGGACTCCACATCTGGATGCAGTGCTCCACGTGAGGCCTCACCAGAGCAGAGCAGAGGGGCAGGATCACCTCCTTTGCGCTGCTTTTGATGCAGCTCAGAATTAAGCTGGTCTTCTGGGCTATGAGGGCACATTGCTGGCTCATGTTCAGCTTGCCAACCACCTGGACCCCAAAGTCCTTTTTGGTAGGGCTGTGCTCTATCTATCCCTCCACCAGATTGTATAGATTGTGGGGGCTGCTGCAACCCAGATGCAAGATTTTGCACATGGCTTTGCTGAACCTCAGGATGTTCCCTTCGCCCCACTGCTCAAGCCTATCTAGGTCACTTCTCCCATCTGAAAAAAATAAAAAAAATAAAAAGCAAAAGCACAGGAATAATTAGTGACATAAATAGGCTGTGAAAAGTGTATTTTCAGGAATACTTTTTGTATTGTTAAACAGCCACTTTACAGAATTATGACCACTGATGTCTGACTCCTTTGGCAAATTTGGTAGCTCCCAGCTACAGGGATTATGCATGAAAACACTGTTGAACTTAAAGGCAAGTCACGTATCAGTGATCAGGTATGCCAGTGTAAGACAAATGATCTGCAGAATTTGAAATGAATTGCAGTGAAATAAATTCCATAAAATCTATTCATAGAGCTGCAGTTAAATTGAAATACATTAAAATGAGTCCCATAAGTTCCTAGCTGCAAATTCCATCTTCTTCTGAAAGCCAAAATAATTGGACTAAAACCAAGAATCTACTCTTCCATTTCACTTACACTAATATAGCTTGATTGCTAAGAGCTTAAAAGCAATTCCCTTATTTGATAACAAACAGATTTCATCACCTAAAGCAAATTATTTATAGCTTAAGTAGTTACATTAGTAGGTTTCTCTTTTTTAATTAGCAGCATGCTGAAAAATAGTATTCCATTTAAACTATTCAAACATTATAGTCAACAGGGGCTTGGATATTTATAATTTTTCATATTGCCTCTCCCTTGCCCCAGAAGACTTAGTCAGATTTTCACTGATGAAAAGCTGATCCAACGATGATATGTTTTCTGTTAGTAAAAATGTCAGTGGTAACCCTTTTTCACAATATACTTTTAATAACATTTCTGAAAGAAAAAGAACAAGAAAACAGTACAGGTGGACAAATAATCCTATTCTTGTGGAAGTACATAAAAAAGAAGAACATAATCTAACCTAGCGTGCGGTATTTGATTGTGTACCGAAAAGCATTCCTCTAAGAGGCACTGTTATAATAATTTACAGGAGGAAGCATCTCACAGGCACTATGCCATCTACAAGAAACCAAGAGATAAGGACAAAATAATGCCTTCTGTTTTGATCTGCAGACAAACCACACCTGCACCTGCCTTCAGATAGCCAAACTGAGCTAACTGATAAACAAATACTTCAGAACGCTCACACAAGAATTCAGATGAAAATCCTGTACTACACAGAAGTTTCAAAAAAGTACAATAAACAAGGAACTGCACACAAGTTATGAACTAGAACAAAGACTGACACAAGTCTTACAAAAGGGCTGTGTGCATTGCTTTTGACAGCTCAAGCTGCTGTGCATCTTTTCATTACAGAGAGCCAGAGGCCCTTAAACTCTCCAGGATACACTATCTCACTATTTCAGTATCAGTAAGGCAGCTGATAAGGAACAAAATCAAGTATCTTGTAAGAACCGACACAACAGGAACCCTAAAGCAATGGCACCATTCAGGCATCAATTTAATTTCAAACAAATTCAGACCTATGGTATTACAGACAAGTTCTAGTCACAGCAGAAACAAAGTTTGACCAGTTTCAACATGCTCCATTGACAAGAAAACTCATTCAAAAAAAAAAAAAAAAAAAAAAAGTCATGTTTCCTTTCAAAAACTTACAATCAATCAAACCACTAAAATTTTCAGGCTTCCAGATTTGGAAGTTCTTTACTATGAATGACGCACAACATACGGAAACGACAAATAAGCATAATGGGAGCTTTTTATAGGAAATCCACTTCTAGAATTCTAAAATCTGTTTCTGAATTCAGGTGCTCAACCCAGAGAAATCATTGTTATGCATGCAGAAGTGCCACCTACTGTGTTTACGTAACATGAATATAAATGAGTTCAATCTAATAATGGGAGAAATTCAATCCTCGATGTCAGTGACTCAGTTAGACAAGATCTAAGTTCTACTTTCAAAAGTTACATTTAAGACTGCTGTGCTAAAGGCACACTAAGGTATCTCCTAAAAAAATTATTTGAGAAGAAGTTCAATACCTTTTATGAATGCAGCAAAAGGATCACATGCCCATTAATGATATTGTATTAATATCAATGGTATTTTCATATGTGCAGGGAGAGCTGCAATAATTGCATAAACACAGCATATGACATCAACAGTTTTTAACACAGCGGAAAGCAAGTTCATGAATACAACTGTGGATTTTCATGAGACTATAACATTCAACTTTCACCTTCTTTGTTAGTACAATGCAAAATGCTCAGCCAGGAAAAGAATGTTTCACTGCAGGTGGTCCAACGCTTTTGGTAAGAGCAAAAAATTTTCATCTTCATCTTCAACTCAAACTCATTTTCAATTTTATTAAGAAAAATGATACACCGAAGTTGTGTTAAATGAAAAAAAATTCAAATGACAAAAGGAAAAAACCCCACCAACGTCAACTTTCTCATAAGCTCACACTGTTTTTCCACCGTTAAGTTCTCCTTATCAGCGGGTACCAATTGAAAAGGAAAAAAAGATTTCCATTAATTTCCTTAACTAAAATCCTCCTTTTGAGCTGGTCAGAAAGTAAACATCTCTTATACACATATCTTTAACTTACATATTATAACTTACCTGCCTGGGAAATCGGAAGAGAGAATTTTTGTAAAATATATCTTTAGCCTGGCTCCAAGTTCCATCAATGATGATCATAACTGGTGGGCTAGAAGACATCACAGTGACTTCTTCCAAATTGGTAGCTTCAGCTCCAGGATACAAAATGAGAGTACTGGGATTTCTGCATACAGCAGCTAGCTCAGGATACCTTCAACGCACACACAGAAGAACACAATAATTACTACAAGTGTCCATGGCAAATATGTACTTCCATGTATTCTATATCGCTTAATCCAATTAGTCTCCTCCAAAGTTCATTTGAGTTTTTACAAAAGGTCCTGCACTTAGTTACTAATCTCTCTTTCCAGCACTTCAAGAAAAAGTGTTGGAGTACTGTGCCCAGTTCTGGAGCATGCAGCACAAGGACACAAAGCTGTTTGGAGCAGGCCCAGACGAGGGCCATGAAGATGATCAGAGGGCTGGAGTCCCTGTGAGGACAGGCAGAGGGAGCTGGGGCTCTTCAGCGTGGAGAAGTGAAGGCTCCAAGGAGACCCTCTAGCAGCCTTCCAGTACCTGAAGGGGGCCTAGAGGAAAGCTGGGGAGGGACTTCTTATAAGGCCATGTAGTGACAGGATGAGGGGAAATTGCTTTAAACTGCAAGAAATTTGATTTAGACTAAATAATAGGAAGAAATTCTTTACTGTGAGGATGGTAAGATACTGGAACAGGTTGCCCAGAGGAGCTGTGGATGTTCCCTCCCTGGATGGAGCTGTGAGCAACCTGGTCTACAGGGAGGTGTCCCTGCCTACAGCGGGGATTGGAACTAGGTGATCTTAAAGGTCCCTTCCACCCCAAACCATTCTAAGTATTGACCCCTCCCTTCAGCTCTTTAGGAGGAAGGAAAAAAAAGCCACAGGAAAAAAAAAAAAAAATCACAGAAAACATTAATGAAATAATTTGTCAGGAACATTTTCCAATACTTCAAGTCTGAGAATTTCCTCCATAGCATATTTGAACCCAAGATGTTATGAACTGTTTACTAGAATTTAATATATGTATTCGTGCAAAATTTGTTCAAGAGCTAAATACAGAATTATTACAGTTTCCTCATTTTCAATCTTGTATATATAAGGAATAACAGCAATCCTGATTTATGCCTACAGGAAATTTTTGAGAATTTCACCATTTCAATTTTATTTATTACTACTTCTCTTGCTACCGTCCCAAAATATATACACTGCCTTTTTCCTTCCTGTAAACATAGCAACAGAATCAGGAATTCCAAGCTATTCTCTATTAAGTGTTAATATACACAGAAATTCCTGGAGTTTTTGCAAGCCACTACTGTAAGTTAGTTTATAAAATCTATGAGAAGCATTATTATTAAAGTATCACATTGGACATCTTAAAAAACACCTAGTAAGAAAGAATAGATGATAAGGGACAATCTGAGAAAATGCTAGCAATGCTTAATAATGATTTTTGAGTTGCTATATAGCTGGTGCACTTCAGAACCTGTGCAACCTATTATCAATCTCTGGGGACATACGTGAAAACAGGTTTTTATCAGTATGAGGTTTCAGTGCAATTGCACTGTCTAGCACATTGAGATCCTGAGCTTAAGACCAGAAATGAAAGAAGAAATGAATTCAGGGTACCAATGTGTTCAGAGCCATTATACCAGTATTTGACCATTCTCAGTTCCCAAGCAAACAATCAAGGTTGATTTAACAATACATAGTTAATTACTGAAGAGAATATTTACTATAAAAAGAGTAGCAATATTTACTTACAAAGCAAACAGTATAAGAAGTGTAAACGGAGGCAAGAAATATGTAAGATAAGTCTGTGCCAAATAGAACGACATGAAAATTTACCTGCCCATCATTTTTTTTTTTAACCTAACTTCCATTATCACTTTAGTTTAAGGAAAAATCATGCTACACAAAATCAGAGCCAAGGGGTATCTCACTACAGGCTACACTGTACTCAAGGCTTAAATCTACAAAATTGTTCACTAATTTCATATGTTTGTTCTGAGAGCCCAAACCCTCAGAAATGCTAAGTACTTTAATTGAGGGTTGGGAGAGCTTTCCAATAATTAAAAACTCGTAGGTAGTTAAAATAAAAAAGTCTTTGAAATGGGTGTTTAGCCTTGAAGGCAGGAGAAAATGCAAATTTTCTCTTAATACTAATGCAAAACCATAATCATTCCGCAGCATTGGAAGTCATGTTTTCCTTTTAAGCAAGTGCTAAAAAGAAGACACTGTGTACAAATGCACAAAACTCAGTGCATGGTTAAACTTAACAACTTCTTCTTTCACATAGGGCACACTTGTTACATACTTTGACTTTACTTGAAGAATTTCTTATTTTCCCCAACAAACTGTTTAAAAGCCATGTGGATATATAGTTTAGTACTAATATAAGAAATGTTCTAAGAAACTTACATCATTAAAAGTATGAAAATGCAGTAAAGAAATGAACGTCAAGTAAGTAAAGCATTTCAGAATGCTAAAAAACACAGAAATCCAAGATGATCAGGTTTGCAACGACCCGAGGAACCTGAACATCCACAAGTCTACAACTACTGATGAGATGCACCCCAGAGTCCTGATGGAACTGCCTGATGCTGTCACCAAGACACCCTCAATGATGTTTGAAAAGTTACGGCAATCAGGTGAAGTCCCTGGTGACTGGAAAAAAGGTACCATCACCCTTATTTTTAAGAACAGTGAAAGAATGACGCTGGGAACTACTGACCTGTCAGTCTCACTTTCATGCCAGGAAACATCGTGGAACAGATCTGCCTGGAAGCAATGCTAAGGCACATGGAAGAGAGTGAGGTGTTACAGGAGAACCAGCGTGGCTTCACCAAGGGTAAATCCTCTTTAACCAACCTTCTATGATAGTGTAACTGCATCAATAGACAAGGGAAGTGCCACTGACGTCATCTACCTGGACTTCAGCAAGGCCTTTGATATGGCACCCAACAACATCCGTCTGTCCTAATTGCAAAGATTTGGATTTGATAGTAGACTGTTCAAAGGACAAAGAACCTGCTGCAGAATTGAATCCAGAGAGTGGTGGTCAATGGCTCAATGTCTAGATGGAGATCAGTGATGGGTAATGTCCCCAGGGATCAGTGCTGTGACTGATACTATTCAGTATCTTCATTGCTGTCATCCACAGTGGGGTTGTGTGCACCCTCAGCACGTTTGTAGATGACACCCCAAACTGTGGGGTGCAGTCGACATGCCCAAGGGACAGGATGCCATCCAGACAGACCTAGAGAGGATGAGCAGTGGGCCCAGGAGAACCTCATGAGGTTCAACAAAGCCAATTGCAAGGTCCTGCACCTCCATTACGAATACAATCCAGGGGATGAAAGAACTAAGCACAGCTCTGCTGAAACGGACTTGAGCATACTGGCGGATGGGAAGCTGGACATGAGAAAGCCCTCAGAGCCATGAAAGCCAACCATATTTTGGGCTGCATCAAAAGAAGTGTGGACAGCAGGATAAGGGAGGCGATCGTGCTCCTCTGCTCTGCTCTGGTGAGATCTCACCTGGAGCATTGTGTCCAGACTTGGAGTCCTCAGTACAGGAGAGACATGGACCTGTTGGAGTGCATCCAGAGGAGGGCCACAAAAATGAGGATAGAACACCTCTCCTACGAGGACAGAGTTAGAGAGCTGGGGCTGTGTAGCATGAAGAAGAGAAGGCTGTGAGGAGACCTAGGAGCAGCCTGTCAGTATCTAAAGGGGAGCTGTAAGAAAGAATGGGACAGACTCTTTAGCAGGGCCTGTGGTGACAGGACAAGGGGAAATGGTTTCAAACTTCAAAAGGGGTGATTTAGGTTGGATATAAGGAAAAATTATTTTACAGTGAGGGTGGTGAGGCACCAGAACAGGCTGCCTAGAGGTGTGGTGGATACCCAGTCCCTGTAGATATTCAAGGTCAGGCTGGACAGGGCTTTGGGCAACTTGATCTAGCTGTAGGTGTCCTTGTTCACTGCAGGGGGGTCAGATTAGATAACGTTTAAAGGTCACTTCCAACTCTTAAGGATTCTATGACTCTATGATTCCTAGAAGCAAAAAGGAACACCCAGTGAAAAGCCCCTTTAAGAAAAGTACACAAGAGGAAATGCAAACATTACGTCTGAAGTCTGAGTCTTTGCAATGCAATTCACAGGAAAACAACAGCTTTCTGATGCACTGGTATCTTCAAAGGGCTATCACTGACTTCAAATATCAACTGATTTCGTCCTTGAATGACAATCAGCACATACACAGAACTATTTAGAGCTATTTAGCTTTCATGTTAACAGTTTCTCAGAAATACATGCAACCTTTTCCAGGTTATAGTTCACACAAACAGTACCTGCTGCCATCTGTCACACAGCAACAAAATGTAAAGGAATACAAGTGGGAAGGTTCAACCTCTACTGCTGTACCACCAACATCTGCCTTTGACATTTCCCCAGCATAATAAAAGAAGAGGCATTACTTTCAGAGCAGCTTTCACACATATCAAGAATATCTGTTTTCACAGCACCTGAACAATAATTTGCTTCTAATGAGTTTGCTTTGGTAAACACTGTAATACACTCTATTTAATTACACAGTATTTATGAAGCGCTGCTATATGTTGTGGTAGGAAAGGATTTTCTCTACTAGTGTCAAATGTTTTCAAAGGAAGCTTACAGGAAATAACTGCAAAAAATTAGCAATTTCACTGCAACACTGAAATAGAGCTTTTGCTTAATGAAAACCTCTTTTGAAAACCTTATCCACAGTCAAGGCACAACTTTTTTTTTTCTACACAAGTTTTGTCTTGCATGCTTAAATGTACAAAGACGTGAAGAAAAAGTCTAGGAATTAGATGTAATCTTCAGCCTTATTTCTGAAAAAGAAAAAAAACCCGCACACAGTCCTACTTTAAAATACTGATTTCATACTGATTTCATTTTGAATACTGTTCATTTATTCCACTGTGAGACAAATGCTATGGCTTATTAAAAACATAAGAGATAACTTCATTAAATGTTGATGTTTATATTCATGATGATTCTGAAAATACCCAAGGATCTCTAGAGATGTTAAAGGATATCTGCCAGCTTTGAAAGCCTCCTCAGAGCCACAAAAGAAGTAGGTCAGTGCTAAGCTACAAATGGTAATATACTTCTGCAAATTCTTAGGGAGACATG